CTACGAAGGGAACAGGAGTTAGTTAAGAAAACATCAAGAAATATTATAATATGTACATTAGATTTATTTAAAGAGGAATGGGAAAGGGGGGGAAGGGGGATAGTCAAGAAAACATCATGAAATATTATGATATGTACATTAGAGTTATTTAATGAGGAATGGGAAAGGGGCGGGGAGGGGGATAGTCAAGAAACCTCAAGAAATCTTACTTATAATATGTACATTAGATTTATTTAAAGAGGAATGGGAAAGGGGAGGGGGGAGGAGTTACCCAAGAAACCACAAGAAATCTTACTTATAATATGTACATTTTAGTTATAGCTATCTGTAGGGGATTGGAAAGAAGGAGGGGGTGTCATTAGCACTCGAAATAATTTAAAAAATATATCACAGGACACTGTTCTTTATTTTGATGTACATCAAAATCACAGCCACATGAGGAACGGGATGGGGGGTCCTTAGCACTTGAAGGACCCCAAGAAATCCCACAGGACACTTAAAATATGTGCATTATAGTAACACCTACTTAAAAAAAAAGAGTGGGAGGTGGGGTGGGGGCGTAAGTACCCCCAGAGATCTCACAGTACTTATAACACATAATATATTACAGTTATCACCACATGGAAGAGGATGATCATTAATACGCTTCAAAAATTTCGCAACACACACATAACGCATAATGTATACTTTATAGCCATATCCATCCAGGAGGGAGAAGGGGGGAGAGTAGAAATGGGGGGGGGGTGACACATTAGTACTCTTGTAATTCTCATAATACATTTGGAATACATCATACATCATGCATACATTATTTGTTCTCGTAGGATATTCCCTGTTATTAGCACATTATCACCAACACCACATAGCTGTATTCATGGGGAGGAGAAGGGGGAGGGGGGGAGGTAGTATTATTATTCTCTCATGGTAGTATTGTCATGGTGCTAATTTCCTCATGGTAGTAGTACTTCTTGTACTATCATGAATTCTCGCTCTGTACTCATATACTGCCTTTGAACTGTTTATATAATATTGTTATTGTTGCTGTTGAGACTATAATTAAAAGAGGTGGATGGGTGTGGAAAATATCTTTCTTTATCTCTCTCTCTCTCTCTCTCTCTCTCTCTCTCTCTCTCTCTCTCTCTCTCTCTCTCTCTCTCTCTCTCTCTCTCGCTCTCTCTCTCTCTCTCTCTCTCTCTCTCTCTCTCTCTCTCTCTCTCTCTCTCTCTCTCTCTCCCTCTCTCTCTCTCTCTCTCTCTCTCTTTCCCTCATCTTAAACGTTCGCGCAATGTCTTTCCCGAAGCCTAAGTCAGAGTTGAGAGCACGCGTTGAAACTTGTTAAATGAGAAAGTTTTTAAAAATGTGAAGAAATATTAACCGTCAATTAACTTTGTGTCCTGTCCCTGCATAGGTAAGGAGGTAGGTAGGTAGGAAGGTAGGTAGTTAGATAGGTAGGTAGGTAGGTAGGTAGGTAGGTAGGTAGGTAGGTAGGTTAGGTAGGTAAGTAGGTAGATAGGTAGGTAGGAAGGTACGTAGGTAGGTAGGGAGGGAGAGAGGGAGGCAGGGAGGGAGTGAAGAAAAAGTTTATGAACGTAAGAGAAGGAGAAAAAAACAGAGAGTGAAAAGACGCGCAGAAGAGAGAATGGCGAGAGACGTAGCAGCATAAAAACAAAGACAACAAAGTAATCATTTCTCCTTCACCATCCCCATCATCGTAACCATCACCATAATCACCCTCATCATCCTCATCATCATCAACCTTCTCCTTGCAACATCAGCAACGGCAACAACGGGATGCAACCGAGGCCCGTGGAAGCAACATGCCCGGCCAGCACTTGCAACAGGATGAAATATTAAACCGCGGATTGAAAACATGTTCTTACTGGGGTCCGAGTGTAACTACCCGTACACATGCAAACACAAGGGGGGGGAGGGGGGGTAGGACGGTGAGGTGGGGAGGGGATGTGTGTCTGTGATTGGGTGGGACTGTGTGTGTGTGTGTGTGTGTGTGTGTGTGTGTGTGTGTGTGTGTGTGTGTGTGTGTGTGTGTGTGTGTGTGTGTGAATGTGTGTGACTGTGTCTGTGTAAGTGTCTGTGATTGTGAGTGTGTGTGATTGTGTGTATATGAATGTGTGTGTGTTTGTGTGTGCTGCATGTTGTTTGCGTGCGCGTAATGTATTATATCAACATGTTTACGTGTGCGTATCCATATACCTATAAATAGATATATTCACACATTTACATTCTTATGTATGCATATCCACAAGCATACAAATACATACATAAATATCTCCATCAATATGCAACACACGTAAGAGCATATAAACAAAAAAATATATATACACATACATCTCTACATATATATACCCTCTCCCCCCCCCACACGCACAAAATGTACGTGTGTGCAGAGACTGGCAGTGTTATGAGCCCCACAAGAGAACAAGCTCCCCCCCACATCTCCTATACTACCCCCTCCCATCCCCCTCCCACTCCCCTCCCCCCCATATCCCCAATCCCGGCTGTGACAGCGTCCCCTCCCCTCTTCCTCTCCCCTCCCCTCCCCCCCCGTGTAACAGTACCCCGCCTGGCTTCGGGTCCTTCATAGGTTTCCGATAAACTGCAGATTTCGCGTCTTTATTAACCGCCTTTTTTATGCAGCTTTAGAGCAATTAGGGACCGCCCAAACTGCCTAATTGTGCCATGATAATTGTAATCAGATCGTGTACCGGGACGCAAGCGAGGGCAAAAATTCTCAATAGTTAGTGTAAGCCCAGAAGCTTCTGACGGCGGTGGGGAGGGAGGGAGGAGGGGGGGTAGGAGGGAAAGAAGGGGGGGGAGGATTCTCTTTGGTGGTTGGCTGGGGTTGGGTAGGGTGGGGGGGGGTAGGGGGTAGGGTGACAGGAGGAGGGTGGGAGGAAGAAGCCGAAGGAAAAGGAGCAGCAGAATGGAGGTTCTGGGAGAAAGGAGCACAGTAGGAATTTGAAGATGAAAAGGAATAAGAAGAACAAGAAGAATAGGTAAAGAAAGGCGGAGAATATTAAGAGCAAAACACAACCCAAAAAAGATACAAAATTAAATCAACAAAAAGCCAAGAAACAGAAGGCAAAGCCGATATGCCTGTAACAACACTGAGCAACGGAGCAGATGCACAGATGAACAGAACTGAAAGAGAGCAATCGAACAGTAGAACAGGTGAACAGTTGAACAATTGAACCGACGAGTACCTACACAGACCAGCAATCAAGCTGTTGGGCAATCGAGCATCACCTCAGACCGGCCATTCGGAGGCAGGGCAGCGGGAGGGAGATGGGGAGACGCAGATCACAGCATCACCGCATCAGCGCCCATCAGGGCCTCCCGTGGCATCCTCAGTCTTTCTCTCTCTATCTCTCTTCTCTTTTCTTCTTCTTCTCCCTCTCTCTTTCTCTCTCTCTCTCTCTCTCTCTCTCTCTCTATCTATCTATCTATCTATCTATCTATCTATCAATCTTCAATATATTTATCTTCTCTCTCCGGGAACTGCCTTTCGACCAATACCTTAACGTTGCTGCAAATAACATCGTTAGGATCTCTTAGTATTACTAGGAACCTCTCTCATCCTCCTCCCACACCCCTCTTCGTCTTGCTCCAATATCTTTTCCTCTTTTTTCCTCTCTTTATCTTCCTTTTCCTCTTCTTCCGTCTCCCCTCTCCTTCTTCTCTCCCAGGCTACTTTCTCTTCTTCTTTCTCCTCCTCTTTCTCCCCTCATTTACCTCTCTTCCCCTCGTCTATCCCCTCTTCCTCCTCCTCCTTCTCCCCTCTTCTACCCCTCTTCCCCTCATCTGCCTCCTCCTTCTCTATCCTCTTTCCTCAACCATTAACCCACGAGACATCAAATAATTACACTCTAATATGCAAATAAGCATGTCTTCTCTCTCTCTCTCTCTCTCTCTCTCTCTCTCTCTCTCTCTCTCTCTCTCTCTCTCTCTCTCTCTCTCTCTCTCTCTAGTTATCATACTTTTCATTTTTTTTCTGAACTCTTCCTCTTCTATTTCCTTTTCCTTTTTCTATTCCCTGTCTCTAAAAAGAGATAGATAGATAGAAAGATAAAGATAGATAGACAGATAGATAGAGAGCGATGGAGAGAGAGAGAGAGAGAAAGAGAGAGAGAGAGAGAGAGAGAGAGAGAGAGAGAGAGAGAGAGAGAGAGAGAGAGAGAGAGAGAGGGGGGGGGGAAGAGGTAGAGAGAGAGAGAAAGAGAGAGAGACAGAGAGAGATAAAGGGGGGGAAAGTGGGAGAGGTAACGCTATTACACCTATTAGAGAGCCTATTAGCCATGCAAATTAGACTTGTTTCATATAATTCGCCCGAAGAAGAAATCGGGAAGGGAGTGATAAGGATGGAGAAGGGAGGGGGAGGGGGAGGGAGGGAGGGAAGAGGGGTGGGCTGAAGGAATCCCCTTACACAGGTTTTGCCGAAGGATCAGATATTCAGCGAAGAGGAGGGAGGGAGGGGAAAGAGGGAGGGAGGTAGGGAGGGAGGAAGGGGAGGGAGAGGGGGATTTAAAGAAGGCAATTCGAGAAGGTTCGTTGCGGGTGGCGGCTACGGCGAGGGGGGGGAGGAGGAGGGGAGGTGAGGGGAAAGAGGAAATGCACAGGTAATAGGGGACTTTGCAGAGGGACCCACCGCCGATTGCGGGCGAGGGTAGGCAGGGGAGGGGGATAAGGAGGGAAGCGGGGAGGGAGGAGAAGGGCGAGGTGGCACTGGGAGGGCGTCGGAGGTGGCACTTGAAGGCCAATAGCACGGGAGGATATTATCCTTACCTCGAGTGGGACCTTCGTAAGCTCCCACTCCAATGTCTTACGAGATCAATGTGGAGCAACAAGTCGGTAATGGCCTTAAACTCCCCTCCCCCCCTTCCCCCCCCTTCCTTACTCCCCTTTCCACACTCCCCTCCTCCCTCCTCCCTCCTCCCCCTTCATCATTTCTTCATCTTCCTTACTTCTTTTTTTCCATTTCCCCC